CCCCAAAACCCCAAAACCCCAAAACCCCAAAACCCCAGCCCAGTTATAAATAATTGAATTTACTTTCATGGAGTCTGTTGCGAATACCAAGCAGATTGAAAAACTCATTTATACTGAAAAGGAAGTCTATCAGCAAGAACAGATGTTGCATAAGGCAATATATCACTCTATTAGAAACAATAAAATTATACGAAAAAATGGGTTTTTAAACATATCCCCAAACCAATTTGCCATTAAGCTGGTAAGGGTTTAGTCAAATTAAGAAACTTATTTGGCCTTAAAGACTTAAATCTGAATTCTACTGCAATAATTCCCAAAATTAGAACCTCTTCCATATTCGAGAATGAAGTTATACTGGGTTTTATAGGAAAAGAGAAAGTATATCTACTCAGATTTTTCCAAGATAGCACTTCCAGAAGATTATAATTTGAATTTAACAATCAACTGAGAAGGAAGCAAATTCAAACTGTACGAAGAAATCCTTATAAACATCGGAAGGAACCGATCTTGTAGGCTTGTTCTTGAATGAAGAGAAGCAATTAATAAGGGAATTAATTACTCTTTCATCAGAAAATGTTTGAGACACTTTAATGATGATATGATTGTGTTGAAAATTATAGGTAATTGGTTCATTTAAACCTATCATATTTAGGCAAAAGAATCTCAGGTAAAATCTTCCCAAGGCTGATTCAGAAGTGCTGAAAGTTTAAAAAACTTGAGTTTATGAATTGTGTTTTTATAAATATTCAGGAAAGCTGATTTATTGGAGCCAATGCTCAAGTGAAAGATCTTACTTTCAATTACTGCACAAGCGTTGGTGGTGAAGGATTTGCAGCTAGTGAAAGTGTTGAGCATCTAGTAAAATTAATTTCAAGTAAGAATGCTATCATTATTACAATTTTATGGTTAATAAAAATGCAAATCTTTGATAAATCCTACATTTCTTCCCAATTTCATTATTTTTTGGGTTGGAAATAAAGCAGTAGACTGGCAGGCTGATATTTCTCTAGATCTAGTGTGACGCATTTGGATTCCAATTTTTAATATTATTTAGCCACTTCACTCAAAAAGTGCATCAAGTCGATCAGATTTGAAAATCTAACAGAGAAAAACAGAGTGATGGCTTGAAGAGAAACATATGGACTGCATCAAGTCAAGATCTTGATGTTTGATTATGATTCGCTTGATTTTGTAGAATTGCATTAAAATAAATTGTTTCAATCTTGGATTGATAACAAGGGGTTTTGGGGTTTTGGGGTTTTGGGG